ACACATGAGTAAAGTAGACAAGATGAAGAAGAAGTAGTGAAGACCAAATTTTTTATCATATGGCTGACTAATGTAATGTGTTAGGATGGGATGAGGAATGGAAATCTCGGTGTTGGTAAGACTTGCAGCAGCTCCTTTCCTTCCCAAATTAGAATTCCAGAAGTCTGGCAGATGGTCTAGAAAATCTAAGGCTACTCTAAGTAGTCATACCACTATCTTTTTCATCCTTTAACTGTAATTCGGATTCTTCTATTATCAGTTCTTCAAAAATGCACTTCACAGCCGATTTATTCAGCGTAAAAACTAGCAGATTATCCGGGTAAGAATGAAAATGCAGGTTGTGTAGCAGTAGTTTACTAGTTTGAAATAATGTAAAGTGCGCTCCAGCTTTTGAGCTGTATGCTTTAATTATTAGTTTTGGGCAAGTTCTTTCAGGCTAATAGTGTATACATCCTATTATATCAGAAAAAACTAAGAACTACTACTTTTATTGATGTTATAGCTGCAGATGTTCAAGACCTGGGACTCATCACTACATTATATTTTTAGCACTTAGAATCCACAGTTTGAAGCTATTTGGAAGATACTCCGAGAAAACTAACTAGAAAGATTTCTTACAAACGTATTTCTCAGGCAATGCTTCATTCAAATACTGGTCAGACATAAACTGAGTAACTGCAAAGTATGTGGTAAAGGATGCAACTGTCTCCCAGCAGTGAAACTTCGGTGAATTTCCCTATAAAAAGAAAGTATAAAAATAAAATATCTAATCAGGTCAACACTGATGTTAACTTCACGGTGGCCAGAGTATCTGCAATATGAAACACACTAGTGACAGATATAAGCAAATGCAAATTAAATCTTGGAAGATAATTTCAGATTAATTACAAAGTACAACTAGTTTGTGATTGCAGTGACATCGGTTGTTGAACAACAAAGATTTTATCTTCTTAACTAATAAAATGAAGTCGAACTATTTATGTGACAGTAATTTAATTAAGTCAATATTCAAAAAGTTTTTGGCCTTAGCTTCGCGCCTGTTAGTATCACCAGTAAAGCTAATATTAACGTTTTGAGAACTCGTATTTACAGAATACCTGAACCTTCATCATTTACCGTTGAAGTCAGGAACTCAATGTTCTATTGCTTTTAGTAATATTTATCTGTATGAAACTAACAACAGAAGGGGTTGATATGACATTGGAGGTATTGGTTTAGTGATATAAAGCTGGAGGAAACAAAGAATAAATTCCTACATGCGGACACTGAAATCTTTTAAACTCATCGTAAGTGCACATCTACAACCAATGCGAAACAGTTTACCTCTTTAGAATGCATGTACAATATACTAAATATCACATTGTCAAAATAAGATATCGTGTACATCGTCGCCGAACAGAATTTAAACGACATTTGAAATCTGCGTCAAATAATAACATACATCAAGTCAGCCATGTCATATTATTGCTTAGGAAGTTAGATTAACGTTTTGTGTGAGATTTAGTTTCTTCGTGCATACATTGCATAATTTCGACTTCCTTGATCAGAATGACTGTTCTGCATTTAAGGCTTTGGCTGACTAATTTGCAGACGGTTGGCTACAATGAAGGTGTCCTTTGTTGTCTTGTCATTCAGCTTATGAGTATTGAACTTCGATTGTGGTCTGTCTTCAGCTTCTTTTAAGGTTTTCACCTTGACCTTCAATGAGCTTTGCATTAGATAATGGTTTGAGCCCTCATTTACTCCTCTCCTCAATTTCGTCTCCTGCAGACTACGTCTTCACTTTCTTGAACAGCATTGAGATGAAGTCTGTCTGAGTTTCAGTGTATCCATCTGGTGCAACCCATGTAACTTTGTGAATATCCTTGTGCTTGTGCACTCTGCCTCCAACCATTAAGTCATCACAGACTCAGAAATCTGTGGGGAGTTCTCCATTCTCATTCATTTCACCGAGACTACTCTCGTCTCATGATGAAATTCTCTTCCTGTCTCGTCTGCCCAACTTCGGAATTTATACCACCCATTGAAATTTTGATATGACCATTGCGGTTCTTGTCCACTGCTGTTAGAAGTTGTTTGTAGAAGTCTTCGTTTTCCTCGTGTTCTGTAGTGTTTGGAGGAGCATAATGTTGGATGATTGTGCCTTTCCTTCGTTTTGGGCTAAATCTTGCCATCATAATCCTGGACGAGATTGCTTCTCACTGTATAATAGCTGTGAGCACTATTGGTGATATCGTGACAACCACTTACTCAGGGCATTTGTGATTGCCGTCTGGGTGACCGGGGTAAATAACTGACTTCCAAGTTAACAGTTTAGACAATCCATTTCAATACCATCTGCTCTCTCAGAATCCTAGCACTTCTGCGACCTGAGCAGCTTTCGTAGTGTAATACATTCTGGGAAAATCCCACGTTCCTATCCTTCCTTATGGTAAGAATACACATCAGCTGACTGACTTTCCGTAGGCTTTCACCTACCGGTGTCATTCCATCTCTCTATTCCCAGTGGAGAATAAGTTTTTCATATTTTTGTTTTGTTTTGAGGTTTGTGTATCGATCGGAATGATTTTCCAGTGTACTGTGGCTATCTGGACCTCTAACCTCCGCTCTTTTCCTTGTCACAGGACTAGCTAGAAAACTGGAGAGGTAGTAAAACATGAGTTATTTAAACTGTTGGTTTCATATAGTAAAGGAGAATATGGGTAGTTTGTCTTTAATTATCAGACATTAAATTGGAATAGTTGTGAAGAGAAAGCACTGTATGCTCTTTTTACTGCATTCTTTTAGCATTATGTTATTGTCTTATCAATGCTATCACCAAGAAACTGCAATTTTCCAAAAGGAGTTTTTGGATCTATGGTCGTACTAACTTGCCTTGATGGCAAATTCAGAATATAATCAAGGTATTGTCCTGGTTGTGCCATGTAATTCTCTGAAAATCTTTAGCTCCTGATTTAGACAGCCTTTTGGTACACTAGAGTAGCTCCATGAACCAAGCACTTTACTAAGTTGAATTTAAATTTCCATGGTAAAGGGAAGCTTAATGCCTCATCTTCAATTCTCTTAGTTGGAAATTTGTCATTCATGTAATGATATAATTCCGAATCACTAGTGACACCTATCAAGCATCCATTCTTCAGTTTTGAGAGATGGAAATCAAACGGGATTAGACGTAATGGCAGGCCCAAAGCCAAATCATCAATCTGCCTTTAGGATTCCTTACTAAAGAAGAAACGAACATTCATTAGATATATTAAAAGAAATTCCTGTCAATAAGATGAAGAGATACTGATGTTGAGGTTTCAACTGATAATTCTTTTAAACATAGAAACCAGTCTTCCACTCAACAGTACATTTGTGGATAAAAGAGATATATCAAACTGTATTATGAATTAATTCTTCACCTATGAATTTCTATTTGTTCGGACAAATTCAGAATTGGTTACAGGATTTCATCTTAAGCTGACATTGGTTAGAAAACCATTGGAAAACCTGGGAGTACTGGACAACTGTTTCGTACTAGTTTGGTACTCTTCATCAGTACGCACCCACCGTGTGACGCTGAAGAGTTCCAAACTAGTACGAAACAGCTGTCCAGTACTCCCAGGTTTTCCAATGGTTCTCTAACCAATGTCAGCTCATGATGAAATCCTGTTACCAATCAACCAAATCCCTACAAACCAATACTTAAATTCAGAATTATTCTTTGCACTAAGCTTCACCATTTCTCTGTGCAAAGGCTTCAGGAGTTTTACCAACCATTTGCCCATCGCATGATGCGGGAATTTCGGCTGACTGAAGTGAGAAACCATTTTTGTGGACTTTTGGAAGGCCATATAACCATGGCGTTATCTTACCAGTAGGTTTGAGTTATTTAAGCAACAGTAGCGAGAAATTCGTGCAGCCACTTTTCTTATCTTCACTGTCATCATATAAATGGGAAAACTAACGATTTCCGCTTCCTATGAAGCCTTTTACAAGTTATTGTTATTTTATATTATTATTCTGCATAATTCATTTTTAATTGTTTGTAAAGTAATCAACTTGAACACCCATTTACTTCCCATTAACTCATCTTATTTTTCCAAAATTATGCATTATTTAATCCACTTGTTTAATTTTCACAAATATTTCTACCCTCTAATTGCTGCATTAATTATCAACTCCCTGAAAAGTGGATATTGACTAACTGTTGTTGGCAAAAATATCATCATTGGATTAGTTAGTAGCTTTTTTGTATTAGAATTGCTATGTATATTAGAGTAGAGCAACAGACGAGGATCTAAATGAAAAGTAAATATTTCATAACTCACTCTTTTTTTCTTCTAATTGGTGAAAAATCATGAACTAGGATAAAGCAGCTGTTCAGTGCTAAAGAGTATTCAATGGTTCACTGAACGATTTAGGTTCGTGAAGAACCTTAGCCTGAAACCAATTGAAACTGTGTAAAAAATACTTGGAAATACATTCTCTCAGGCAGTATGTACACACTGAGATCTGGTAGAAGTGGATGATCAATTCATCATAATAATAACTTATTCAGGAATTCATTTTAGCTAGGAGTTTTTTTCTCTATACTGTATGCAGAGAGTTCATTTTGAGATGCTGATAATACTAGAGTTGGCTGATCTGTGACAAAAGTTCAGATCTCAAGATGGCTTATTCATTGTGCTTTGTGTACAGCCTGGTAACATCTCAGCATGTATACTTGAATCACAGTAGTCTGTCATATTCCATACCAAATAGCCTTTAGTTAACGGCTGTATGATTTGTAATGATTTGAATCAAGGAATATTTCATTTTTGAATAAATGTACAGCGAATAACGTTTAGTTAAAGAGTACCTGGAGAATGAAACCTACATTTGCAACAAATATAAAACATATTATTTATTCTTTGCCATTTGCTCCGAAGACTAGACATTTCGGAAATATTTCTTCTCACAAATAGATCTATTTTGTCAGTAAAAATTAAACCACTTCCATTTTCTTCTTATTTTAGGTGAGAATGAATACATTCAAAACTTTTGCTGTGTGTCAGTTGCAACGGAGACGGTCGTATGTCATGCAATTTTATTACATCTTTTAGGATCCAGTTTAGATACACATTTTCGTCTAACAAAGCCAAGATGGTTTACTTCTACTTCTAATGGATCCGATAAACGTTTATTAGCAATACGACTGAAAATAGCTGCACCGTGGATAGTAAGTATATTACAGACCGGTGCTCAGATCATTCTAAGTGATCCGTTTCCACCTGCGTATTTAGAAGAAGGCAGGTTCTGTACATCACCAGATGTTAATTTTCTTATATTACGTACTTTGGTTGCATTTTTACTACCATTGTTAGCAAGTATTGTAATTCTGTTTATGACTGCACATCGAATACAAAATTTACAGAGACAAAAGCAACGTATCCAATGTTCCAGAGAAATTCCTCCGTATACTAGAGAAGAAATGAACACTGATATCACTGGCTCACGAACTAATGAAAATTCTGTGTACTGCCTTGTTACCTCCTGTACTAATAAACATGACAAATCATCTAAACGAAAGGAAAATGAATTGATTCCCCTTTCATACTTCAATAAACATTGTAATTATGATTACGAGGTGGGTGGATAACGTATTTTAGTGCATTTCCTATATTGTAATTTATGGCACAGTTAATTCTTTTTCTTCAGACTTGAAGATACTATGAAAAAGATTCATCCAAAAAGTGAAACTGAATTAGTAATAATAAGATTTCAGAATCAAAAAAGCAATACCAGTTAGAACCTACAGTACACGTTATAAATTTAAGTCTTATGCATTTGGTGAAAATAGTGAAACATTTCGTTAGGTCACTGAATAAGTACAAGGCAAATCACTGGAAAAAAAACTGAGCAATATGACTTTGAAATCTATTCGATTTACTTCTAATTACACTGGTAATTGTCCATAAAGAGGATTCTTCATCACTGCAAAAAAACAGCATTGATAAGGAGAAAAATCTAGAAATCTATAGAAATGGCCTATGTTCAAGAGACGCCGTTACAACTGAGACTCTGTTTAGTGGTGAAATACATTTTCTGCATTTACTTATTTATCTAAATTTATCTAAAAGATAGTAGCTTGAAAAGCAAAAGAAATCTCAACTGTTTTTTCTTAACAATGCCAATTTTTCAAATGATCATTATTTTATTTTATTTTTATTATTTTATTTTATTTTTATTTATTTTTGATTTACAGCTTGATTCCACACTGTATTTTTGGTACAAGTATGGAATTTTCAGCATGGATATCGGTAGCCCAAATTTTGCAGGCCGACCATAGATATCAGGTGTGCGCCGGCGTGGGCTCGAACTCCGGACCATGTGCATGGTCGGCGAGAGACCTAACCACTGTGCCACCGACGCACATGCATGCTTAAAATAAGACCAGAAAATACTAGGAACATTTGAATAACGAAATTGAAAAGTATATTTGACAGTAATCTTAAAGACAGGAGCTCTGTTAACTCTATTTTCCTGCTATCCAAGCAAATTTGATAATTACATTCGACATTCTTTCCAATCTATTTTTCTGTTTTAGTTAAATTACCCTTAGGTTCTTTTACTATTGGATAACGCATACACACAGTGAATGAATAATCATCTACCTGTTATTCTTTGACTTAGTTTGCAGGCTGCTGAGACTTTCATTTAAACTTTCTAATGAAAACAGAACAGATGAGATTTAGTGGTCATATAACATATGACATAACTGTGGTCATAAGTAAATCACTTGTTATGAATGACATTTTGTGTATTACTTCAATTAGCATTAGCTGATAACTTACTCCATTTATCAGAGTTTTCAAAGTAATTTAAACTGAACTGATGGCTTCTGAAATCATGAAGAAGAAATAGAGTGCATAGGGTTTGATAGCGACAGTTTAGTTTAGTTTTACTTTGGCATAAATTTAGATATGAATGAAAATAATGCTATGCTCAGCGTAAATGCATCACGCCAAACACTACTATTTGAGTGGTATACGTAGTTGGATACCATTTAGTTAAAGTTTCCTTTCGTTTAGGGTTGAGCTTATTATGATGTATTTGGTTTGACTCAGCTCAGAGAGCTGCATCAGTTAAAACCACCTGATTTCTGGCTATCTACTTGAGCAAGTTGCTAATTTTATTTATGTTTACCTTACTTTGGAATTAAGAAAAAAACATAATATTTGAATACATGTCATTCTGAGGGCAGGATTTGATAACTAATAATTATCTTTGCCAAGTAATTTTTGTGTGTATGTATCAGCAGATAAATAGAGGGTATCGTACGTGTGTTTCTAAATTGTTGAAATGGTTGAAAGTTGCGTGTACACCTTTATGACAATGTAAAATTTTCACTTTTTTGGTTGAAATAATGGAAGGTATTGATGAACAACACAATCGTGTAATAAGTTCAGGAGGATATTATATTGGTATTGTCGCACTAGGATGATATCCCATTTTAAATCCTAAATTAAGTGGACTAACATTTATAACATTTTTCCAACTCTTTAGTTTTTTTTAGTTATCTACTACCTATAAATAAATGTTTAATATCATGATATGAACACTACACTAACAAGTACACTACCCTTGACTTGAATTTCACACAGGCTTCAGTTTGCATTTATTTATATGTATAGATATCAATAGTGTAAGTACAGAATCAGATAAAACGTCAAAATACTTAATTTCTAGTTAGTTTGAAAGTAGTTCACCAATGAGTATTAACACTTGTTACTGTAGGTTCAACTTTCTTGACTGCAGATGTTAGAACATTTTATGCGTCAACATTTTTGACTGTTAACCATGAGAACTCTAATATTAAGACAGATAAATATCTGTATCTCAAGTTCAGTCACCGTCAAAATAGGATACAGATTTCCAGAGTTATTTGAACCCAGATCACATAAAAGTAGTCAGGAATGTAAAGTGCTTTCAGATACAATGTTAGGTCAGGAGCTGATTTATTATGAGGCTTTCACTTTCATATGTAATACAACCCGTTCTACACATTGGTCTGAAGTTACATATGCTCCTCCCCACGATCTCCACTTTCTTTAGATTATAACTAAGTCTGTTTGGTTTTTGATACATCTGTCTGGTGTAACCCACGTGTTTGTACACACTGCGGCCGATCGCTAACTCACTCAAGATCCAGAAGTCTGTAAATAGTTCCTTATGTCATTCACTTCATCAAACATTTCTCGACCCATGATGAAATGTCTTACCGTAATGGTATTCATAAAAATCTCAATGTTACCATCTAGAGCCCTGTTCATTACTAACTACAGTTGTTTATTGAAGTTCTTCTTCTCTTTTTCTGAGCTGTTGGTGGGTGTATACCATGATTCTATAGGAGACTGGTTCTCACTCACCTCATGACAGAATGTTATTATGTTGGTAAGACCATGATAACCACTCCCCGGTGTGCTCATGGTTATTATCCTAGTAACTTGAGTAGACTATTGACTCTGCAGTTACGATTTGGTAAATCCACACCCGTTCCATCTGATTTAACAGATTCCTAACACTTCTATGTCATACCTTAGGGTTTCTCCCTCAGTCTCAGAAGCCTTCCCAGCCTTATACTTGATACTGACATTCCATGTCCCCATGCCTACTTTTTCTATTATGGAGGGAAAACACATCAGCCTACTGGCTTCCTGAAGACTTCCAACCGGTGGAGTTATCCATTCTCGGAATGAAGAGTCTTTCTGATTTTAGCGATGACTAAGTTTTTTCTGTGCTTCGAGGTCTCTGTCGCAGTGAGGCTGCAAGCCATATTCCCAGACTCCCATTTTTTCGGGCTTATAACTGGCTAGTAAACTAGGTAGGGTTTTAAACATTTAATCAACCGATTATAATTTATAACAAATACCACTCATTTCTATGTTTTTATTATCTTCGATGAAGTGATACAGATATTATTTTAATCACCAGTTTAAATGTGTTTAGTAATAACAAATAAAGCTATACTGAAAAAATGTCAACCAACCACAAATACTTTCACAGAGGCTGTAGTAATTTTGTCTTAGTTTACTAATTATCCCAGAATGGTATTTATTTTAAATCAATGAGAAAGCTTCGCCACTCGATTAGAGACTTTTATTGTTACTGCATTCTTTGAGGTATTTGGTAGCTTGATAACCGTCTGAAGCACATACGCGATATAACTACTTTTAGGGCTTAAGAAAAGTAGGGTCAAATAGACTCCATTTTTTCCCGATAATAATTTTTTGACATTTCACGGACTGAAACACTTTAGACTTCCGAACATGCTTAAAGGCTTAACAGGGATACATGAAGTAAAAGGAAAATAACTGCTCGTATTATACAATCAAACTAAGTAGTATTGTAGGTGTTATTGAGATTTTTAACCGATAGTATACTTCTAGAAGTTATTCCAGAACTGACAAAGGAATGGATTAAGACAGCTATCTATAGATGAAGAACTAGCACTGTGCATTGAATGATAATGGTATATGTGAGAAAGCAAGAGAATAAAGTAGATCGGTAAAAACGTGAGTAGCGCTAAGTGAAATTGTCTCTATACAAAAATTACATTATCTCTTTTTGACCGAAAAAAAGATTAACTAGTTTATTTGACTGAGGCCACCAATCATTCCCTTTTCTACTAATTACAATGACTTTTATGTCCCAAAATTATCTAAATTCCTAAAAGGTGGATGGAAAGTTGTATGGAAAGATAATGGGAATATATTTTGTCTTTTAAGATCTCACGGATCGCGATCCAGTGCGTAATGAAAATTCATAATGACACTCAGTTTGAATTTTTGTCATGCTTCATATGCTTGGCAAGTAGGATATAGTGATATAGTTCAGGCTATTGTATCAGTTGCGTTATTCATTTCTTGAATGTACTGCGATTCAGCAATGTGTGATATGTTCCAACTATCCTCATTCTTTTGTGACCAAACGTTTCTTTCTGAATACTGGAATCAGTATCAACTACTGTTGCTAAGTTCATTTGTAATATCTTTATTTCTAAATAGTTACTAGGTCATTTCATGTGTTCCATATGGTATTCAATGTAAATAATAACTTCGATCTACTGCCGTTCCATATAACAAACGTCACAATTAATGGCTGAAACCTGAAATAGAATCTTACGGTAAAAGTGGGAAGTATTACATCTTTCATTCTGACTGCGTAACTTTGCGACATTAACAATATTTTCAGGAGCCCTAATTCAGTTTTCCCTTAAGTTTGTTCATTATTTGCATTTTCTTTTTGTTGAAAAGTTAGAATAAGCCTGTTTATTTAAGAAGTATCGTTCAACTTGTCTTTTCAATCAGGTTACTTAAGTCTTCATCTATCTTGATTACTTTCGATTGGTTACTTACTAAATTATAAGAATCATATCACATTTTCCATTTTAATTCACATGGTTCCTTTATTTAAGTGAAGTCTAGCTACCCTCTTCAATATAAACACCCTTTAGAAATAAGTAGTATTAATGATAATAGCCGTACAGATTAAAGTATATAATTGATACCACAAAAGAAACTACTGTTTATTTAACAATTATAAAGTTTATGTTTTAAATCTGTTCGAAAATTTATTCCCACATACAAAAGGAATTTTTAAATAGATTATGGATAGGATTTTTGGATCCGGTCGTGTGAAAATGAACTCTAATAGATTGCTGTCCTGTATATTCTCAAGAGACAGAGGAGGAAAGTTGTGCCTGCAAGGAATGTTAAGTAGCTTACAGGAAGACTTTAGCTAACCGCTCTCTTGAATCTGAATATCTGTCAATGACAATGTTAGTCAACTGTTTGAGAAAGATGCCTATAGTTCTATTCACAGCCCTCAAATAGCTACTGAATATAATGAAGTTGTATTAAACATTCCAAAGAAGGCTAAAGGGAGACAATTTAATTAAGTAATCATTTAAATATGTCGTGAAATTTTTGAGTTTTAATTTCAAAGAAAATGGAAGTTCCTGCGACGCTCTACTTGTATCTTCATAATACAAAGAAAACATAAAATTTAGACATGAAATTTTTGTTTGATTATAATTTGAAGTTTTGTGTATTAAATATACATTCCATATAATGTAACACATTTCAATTGATCATTGTTTGGCTTATTCAATTTTATATACATTCTGACGTGCAAAATGCAATGAAAGTCACATTTCTTTTCCTTCATATTGGCTATAGTTTTAAAACTTAGGCATTTTGGTTACAACAGTAAACTCTGAAAATATATACTCTTCAATACTTTGTATAGCGAATAGATATCACGTTTGTTCATTTCCAAAGTAACTTTGTTTTTAACAACAAAATCCCTGAATCATTTTGTGCGTCCACACTGAAATCAGTTTAATTCGTTGTATGGTAGAAAACAGAGTCAGAAAATGAAGGTTTCTTCAGAAACCTAGATTTCCATCTTTTTTTCAGTACTCCAATGATCTCAAATAAATTAAATGTTCTATGAATAATAATCCAGCATCAATAGATGATATCAGTTTTTAATAATTTACTATGAACATTTTAGGATTAGAAATTGTTTCTTTATTCTACCCAGAAAATGGAATGAACTGACTAATTAGACACTTAACGCTTCATGTATTCGTTTCCTTGTATGAGAATTCAATTTTTATGTAAGTAATGAATGAGATGAAATAAAAATTTCCTAAAGCACTAAAAAACTTGTTTTTATTTATTTCTAGCAAGTGATTTCTTTTTTTGTAGAGAAAGTAAGTGGAAACTTTTATGAATGTGTTTTTGTAAGCTTGGAATTTTTGTAGGGTTTTGTTTTCCATAATATTTATTTACATTCAGATTGTAGGATTTTTGGAAATTTGGACTAATTTCATTTGTAAGACTTCTGTACAAACCAACATCATTGAAAACCAGAGAGTACTGGACAGCTGTTTCGTCCAGGTGATGTGAATACTCATATTAAGATACTGGTTGGGGTAACACTATATTACAAAGTGATAAAGTTGCAATTCATTAAATTCCAACCTAAGTGGTTCTATGGACAACGAATTGATCTCGTGACCTGATGACCCCGGATCCGACCGCTGGTAGGGTGGTGGGTGCATGCTAATGTAGGGTCCCGAAACAGGATGAAAAAGCTGTAAAGTGCTCTCAGGTTTTCAATGATCTGTGTGACTGATGTTGTTTCGTGAAGAAATCTAATGAGTGAAATTTATACACACAGAATAGTTATTTGAGTTTTTATTTTAAACAGACAATCCATGAGAAATAATAGCTGGCGATGCAATATGGTTAAACTTTGTCTACTTATTAAAATATGAATTTGTACATCCCAATTTCTTGAGCAGAAATCATATACAGCCGATTCATGGATCACATGTTACTTTCTCATTTATGCATCCTTTAGGGCAATATTATTTAGTATTGGGATTCAGGCAATCTGTTTCCGGTTAGTCAGTCACAAAATATATTTTCAGTTGATGCTTCACTGGACTATGTATTGTAACTAGAGTGGCAGAGTTATTTGCTTGAAATAACTCAAGAATCACTGGTTTGGTCACTATTTAAAACATGGGATAACAAGATTATGCTTCACTGACCTTGAATCGCATTGTTCACACAGTGGAAATAAGTCTTAGCAAGATATAAAGCCAAAGTCAAGTCTTATTGACTTTTACATATTCAGATCACTATATGTAACCTGTCTAACATCTTTAGACAGTATCAATCCTGCCTAGTATGAATACTAAACGATTTATACTATCGATTCATGTGAGTGATTTCATCTAATTAAATCAACTAATACTACATATATTTGATTAGACACAAACACTGTTTATTGAAAAGTCTGTCAGTCCTTATTCCCTTTGAGAACAAAAACTAAAAAATGACAAAAAGAAGTTTTGAATAATCACTTTTTTATGAATACAAAAAGAGAAGTGTGATTATCTCATATAGTACAATTTTGTAATATATTTTAATCCACTTGCTGCTTTTCTAAAAATTCGCTAATGTTATGGAATATTAAGGACAAGTTAGAAATTAAGGAAACCTGATATTTGCTTTTCACCCAGGTGGTCAATAACTTACATTAAACTTTATTTAGTCTTCGCGAATTGATGAGTAACAAGTGACAAGTATTTGATACTTACACTAAATTGTTCTTTGATCATGACTCTATTAATTAAAACCCTGACCAGTTTAAACAAAACATTAAAATATTTCCAGAATTAAATGTTAGAAATCTGTTACTTTTAAGAGCATCTAAAATGAACTAGTGAAGTAATCTAGTTGGATACATATTTTACTATTTAACTGTGAAAAGTTATACTAAAAGTATGTTAAACATGGTAAAATTAAATTCTTATTCAAACGCATCATAAAAGCAGTATGGTGAAACTATCATAATCCGAAGCAGTGTGCTAAACAAGCCTTTTAGAAACATATTAAGGGATGCGGTAGCCTTCTGATAAAGCAAACAAACACACTGGTATAAGGATAAGTTACAAATAGCATCAAAAGAAAGAAGATAACCCAGCTTTTTAAACCAGAAATTAGTACTTACTCTGTCACCAAACCTATGAGTAGCCAGTCAGCTACTGACACCCTAGTACGTATAATAATCAAGAACAACCTGAATGTAGGTCAGCTGATACCTACCTGCTACTATTCTTCTAATCATAGTATGATAATGAATGTATCTTTATCTAAACGTTTTCCAATGGAAAAATAGTGGCTTATTGCGTTATCTCTGGTTTCTTTACCCATTCGAAATGTAATTACACTTTGTTTTATCGTTAATTTATAACGAAGTATTAAAATATTTTTTCTAATTTGATACATTAAAATAAGTGTTTGAAACCTAACTTTGACTTTCGAAATTAAAACAGGCTTAGCATTCAGTAATGGTTAGTTTTATAAAGTAAAACTTGTGTTAAGCTTGTAATTTTCCTAGACACTCGATTAATTGTTATTTTCATTAGCAGAAAATATTTTTTCAACGATTCTAATTTTTTTATTCATATTTTTGGTGTTCCAAAAAATTGCAGCAAACTTTTGATACCATGACAAGATCGAAAAAGTTAGAAACTGAATATAAAAATTTACATAAAATTTGTCATAACGAATTCATTGGAAGTCAGTGTTCGGGGAATGAGACAAGTTTCAATGCAAACAACGACGTATTACGTGCATTTGTTAATGACAGTTCAACTGACAATAATAAAAATTCTCCAATTAGATGTCCTGGATCACCTATACTTCTGAAATTGCCATCAACTCCGAAGACAATATCTTCACAATACCAACAAGGATCAAGCTCGTCGGATGCTGGAATTTCAAGCCAAACAACAGAAGACACAGATGAATTTATAATTCATAACTGTATGACACAGAAATGTAATAGTACTAAGGATAACAGTTCGTTCAATATCAATAATGATAATGATAATAATGATAATCCATGGGAAATTTTAGACAGTGAATGTCAAACTAAATCGTCAAAAAGCAATGACAATCAGAAGTTAATAAGACACTTCTGTCCACAACATGGACAAGTCATAATACCAGAAAATGTCTATAAACCTTCCTTACCCGTTGTTCAGGAGATTGATGTTAGACAAGGTGGTGGTCAAACAACACAAGATTTCATACTTCATAGTAATGAAATCAGTCCGTTCAGTGGAAAGAATAAAAGTTTACTGATGCACGTTAAAAATAATTTGTTTTCATCTCCGAAAAGTATGACATTTTCAACTCCAATCACAGCTCATATTATTTTCAATAAACTGTGTTATTTAGAAAAAGAAGAAGATTATCTAACTGATCCATGTAAAGTGAACAATAAACAGACTCATTCTCAGTGTAATGACGAACAACGATACAACCAACACGAAAGTGAACTGCATTCAAGTAAATTTCCTAAACAATTTCCAGAACATAGAGCAGTTAAGCTTAATATGATTTTATGTGCAATTACCATAGCTATGTGGTCACCTTTTGTCACTGCAACTCTCAGTCATTTATTGCTAAGTAATTCAAACTATTTTCATTTGCTATCCGTTGGAACATTAATACAATTTAAATGGTTAGCTTACATGAGTTCTGTTGCCTACCCCATTGGATTTTTACTCGTTGATTCACAGTTATGCAAGACAACGTTTTCACAAATGTGTCACCGAAAATTATAACGATGCTCCGAAATTCGTCTCAACAACGTGTATACATTTTTGCATTACGATTTATTGATAAAAAATCAAATTAATGGATTAAAAGTAAACCACAACTGATGTAAATATTTTGGTCTTTTTAATCTAGTATCCCAGATATGTAATAAAATATAATAATTATAAATTATATATATATTATATATATAGTGTTTAAGAAGACAATTGCAGCGAAGAAAATTTTCTTTTCGACGAAGTCATCATCTTGGCTGTACATTCGTGTATTTATATCAAATGGATAGGAAAGTTCCAGAATAATATCCGGTCAAGGGGCAAATTAGTAAAAAATTAAAATTAGGAATTAGAATGCCATAATAAACAGGGTGACGGATAAAACAAACAAAGTAGCATCATAATAACTAAGAAGATTGACATTGTGCAATTAGGGGTTAGAAATGTAGAAATAGCAAAATAGACAGGATGTTTGGATAAAAACTGATGTGATGAATAATTGTTTATGTAATCAGGGATTAAATATGTGGAAATAGTAAAATGCCAAAATAAACACGAAGTTCGGGTATGAAAATATTGTAGCGTAAACAGGGATTAAGAAAAACTTAAAATAACGTGAATAAACAGGAAGTTTACGTAAGAAAGGCGATAGGATGGTCATTACTAAAAAATTACCTGTTTATGACGGCCATGGCAGGGACAGGGGTTGGACGTATTTCTTTTGGATACAAAGGGTGGGTTTGAGCTTTTGTATAGCTAGCGCTTCAGCTATGCCCAGATGTCTTGATTTGACTCCCTTTGATAGGTTTGATTGAATCCTGTATATTACTTTGAAGGATTTTTCGAAAGGCGCTGAATGTCCTGAATTGACCAGATGTTCTGTCACTGAACTGTATACACGCTTTTGGTCTCCTTTTACTAACCAGGCTGGGTGGTGTTCACGAGAGCGTTTTTCAAGTCGGCACATGGTACGGCCAACGTGCTCAGCTCCACAAGAGCACGTAAGCTGGTATATACACGTTGAGGTGGTTCAATGCGACAGCCTGTCTTTCTGCTTCTTGCTGAACAGTTTCTTGCAGGAAAACGTCAGTCGTAGGCTCGCGGCGAAGTACGTTTTCCTCAGCGACTTGGAGAGGCGTTTACGGAGGATTTCCGCTCCAGTATCATCTTTGAATTCTAGATTAAGCAGAAGTATTTTCTTTGGAACGGGTTGGACTCGTTCGAAAGTCTTCTTAGATTTAAGATTCTTGTCTGTGAACCTGTGCGTGGAACCGTTTTCCATCAGGGTTTTTCGGAGATTATGCAGTTCTTCTCCAACCACTTGCTCGCTGCATATCTTCCGAATCCTCGAGGAAAGAGCGTATATCAGGTTCCTCTTTCTGCTTAGGGGCACGAAGCTTTGAAAGTTGATGAATTGTCCATTCCATGTAGACTTTTTGTGTATGGACCTTTTCAGAGAGTTGTTGGCATTTCTTGTCAGATGGACGTCGAGGAAGTGGAACATTCCGTCGGATTCAGTCTCAAGTGTAAAGTCGATGTTTGGGTGGGCGTTACTGAAGATTTGAAGTAGGTTTTTTAAATCACAGTTCTCATGACAAATAATGAAAGTATCATCGATGTATCTCTTGTAGAGATGGAGGTCGTTGATATTTGGTGATACGGGGTTGTTTTCTAAGCTAGCCATAAAGCAGTCGGCTAGGAGGGGTCCTAAGTGAAAACCCATTGCTACTCCATCTACTTGCCTGTATATTTCCTTGCTGAAACTAAAGTATACGTTGAAGGTGCATCGTGGTAACAGTTCTTTCAGGTAATGGATCAGTATACCGACATCGATGCTATTGGATTGAATGTAGTCACAAAGGAAACATACGGTTTCTGTCAATGGAACGTTGGTGAAGAGAGAGACGACATCCAGGGAGACCATTTTCTTTTCTGCCACATTAACATTCTTAATTCAATCAACAAAGTCGAATGTATCACGGAGGTTGTGTCTTGACAGCTTCTCTTTCACCGGCCCGAGAATCTCCACCAGCCATTTTGCGTTTGTATGATATGGGGAATCAATCATATCTAGTATTGGGCGGAGTAGGACGTCTTGTTTGTCCATTTTAGGTAAGCCGTACATGCACGGCGTTGAAGAACCAGATGGGCGCAGTTGCTCATATAGTTTTGAACTGATAATGGATTCGTCTTTCATTTTCTTCAATATCTTTGTTAGCTGGAGCTCCGTCTGTTCGGTAGGATCTTTCTGTGAAGACTGTTTCTGAAACTTTCTATCATCAGATAGTATCATCGAGAGTTTGCTTAGGTAGTCTGATTTGTTTATCAAGACGATTCCGGAGCCTTTATGTGGTCGTGTCATGATCAAGTTTTCATTATCCTTCAGTTCTTTCAGCTGCTTTCGATGTTCTTTAGAAAGTGATTACGACAAACCACGTCTCGTCATAAATGATATCAGCTAAGGAATCATTAAAAAGTCAGTGAGACTAGTTGGTTATATTCCCCAAGTATTATATGATTAACCCGTGGGCCTAGTCAATCCTTAACGCGATCGATATCGGGAAACTTACTCCTTATGTTATCGATAACAAAGTGTGATAGTGTCTTTAAAATCAAGAGTTGACATTCCCCACTTTCAGCTGTACTAGGAAGGCATAGCCACTTTGAGGTAAATGTTGCTTCACTGGTCTTTAATTAGTGGTATCACCCTATCTACTAAGGACAGAGATCTACTGTCGAGGATTACACAGAGACGTAAAAGATGCCAATAAACATATTTTAATGCAGTCTATCCTTACTAATAAATGGGATTAGGATGGAAGCACGGCTATATATATTTCTGTTAAAGACCAATTCTTAATCTCTCCAGCTTTTAGGGCTCCTTTATAAAAAAAAACCTAATCTCTAACTTTTTAAGTGAGTTTTGCAGTATTAAATTATCTGACAAAGAATAAAGTTGATCAGGATTTCATACATAACTTGATGAATACTAACAGTTACTAATTTATATGACGGTATTTGCCATCAATTAACTTAAAATCATTGAAAATAAGATACATTTAAGTTTGCTGTCTTATAATTCAGCTTTGCAGAAACACCTTTAGACTAATCAAAAAACTTGTCTTTTTATAGGTCATCTGGATTATTACAGACACCTACTTCATCTTTTATTGCATTTTGTTAGTTCCCTCTGAAAAGTATTATTAACTTACAACGAAAAAGACTAATAATCGAGAAAAAATGGCCGAATCATTAAGATGTTTGCATAAAAATATTTTGGCTTTAAATAGTACATTTCTCTCCATTCTAAGAGAAAGCAAATAGTTTTCATTTTTCTAAAAGAATTTGTAGTTTCCAAACAATACAGAAGTCCTCTTTCTGTGTGAGTCTAGTCTTCAGGGTTTATTTGTCTACAATGATTTTCTAAAGTTTGGAGAACTTTCATGTTATATTTCATCCAATGAGTTTCAGTTCAGAGGTCAGCATTTGCTAATTTTGGTTGATTACCATCACAGTACAAATACTGTTCATTTCCAGCGTTAGAAGTTTTATATGCTCTGAGCTTATCACCTCTGAAAACAATGAAGAAATGATGAATAAAAATCATGACTACTTAAATAAACGTCAGTATACAGAAATATGGATGGGATTTATGGAAAAACAACATTCGAAGTCCAATAAAGTTTTATGTAATATAAATGGGACTTTGGTGAGTAGATAGAGATGTATCGTAGTTCAAAAGAATTTTGCCACAGCCTTGACTCCTCACCTGCTTTATACTTATATCTTGAGACATTAAATTCAGCGTCTGCTAGTTATCATACTCGTCACCTAATTGTTTTTCTCCGAAGTGAGGGATAAGCTCTCGTATAATAGCCACATTTAGGTAAACCACAGGGTTGCTTATGAGTGTTCATAATCAATAAACTCCAAAGATTCATCCAACTTGAATACATAGATACGCCATTAAACCTGAAGGAATTGTGACAGTTGAATAATCGCATAAAAATAATGATAGCAAAACTATTGAAACTGTTCCCAAGTAATCTGAACAGGAAAAGGATTCTCTAAGCTGCAGCTGCTCTTTTTATATGTGTGGGAAAACTATATGTATCTTGTCAAAGAAATTAACCATAAACTCCCATTATTTGCAAAGACGCTCCGAACCGATAAATACTATGACTGCTTCTCGACTTTAACTCCAAAACACAAGGACTTGTAATAAACTGTATTGTTCGGCAATTAAAATCGATAGTTCATACACAATATATAAACAAATGTTTTACAAGGAATGCACTGTACTTTTATTCGTATTCTTTTGCCTTCTTCCAACTTGCACACGATTGAATCATTCGCGCTGTAATACACAAGGGCAACAGCCACAACCAACGAAGGAAGAAGACGAAGAGGGTGAGAGAGACGTATTTATTTGAACCAAGCAGAGCTTGAATTAACCGGGTACAAAGCTAATTGTCATTATTTATAACAAGTCTAGACAAATGATCTTCCTCCTGCCTCAGTAAGGCTACGTCAGCGTTTCTTTCTGAAAAAGAAGAAAACTTATTTGGTGGCATTATGTTGGTTTTTATCTTATTACTGCGCCTTCGAGTTGCCCGTCAGTGTAGACCGAGGTCGACCAACTTTCAATGTTCACCTTCATTTACACTCCCTGACAAAAAAGGGTACGTCTCTTTGTTCCATAGCACCAATAACCTTGAACTGGACTGTCAGCACGTGAACCTGCGCCAACTGGGAGTAGACTAGAATGGAAAAGAAGACAAAAAGCCCTAACACACAGGAAGCATACTACATCACGCCAGTAGGCCCCCTAGTGTGTAGGATCTTCCTCAGTGTTGGAATACCATTCTCTCTCTTTCGAGAGTACCACCACTGGTCTGGTCCTCTTGATGTTGGTTGCTTCATGTCCCCCTTCCACTCTCTCTGCCACAGCGTAACAAATCGCGTGCACTGACTATAACACCACTCGATTCGTTCACAAGATTAGACGACTA